GCGGGGGCCAGCCAAATGTGCAGCTTTGGGATGGCTCCAGCTGCTGTCACCATCGGCAGCCCCAGCTGTCCCCACAGGTGTTTGGCAGTGCCCTGACCACAGCCCTGAAGCTGAGCCTACAACTCCCACAGCTGTTGTGGCCCTGCCTGTGGTCCCCAGGACCGTGCCATGCCGCAGGTTCTTTGGCAAGGCACACACCAGCTTTCAGCCAGCAGGCAGGGGGGGAGCACTTTTGGCACTGCTGGCACTGAGCTTACCCACCCCCCCAACTCCTCCAGATTCCCCCATGGCCATGGCACCAAGGCACCCCGCAGCAACTGGGACCCCCATGCCGCCACACTCACCCAAGCAGCCCCCAGGCTCTTCATTCTTGTGGCCGATGTGGCTGGGTTATGCCGGGGGAGTGAGGGGAGCAGGGCAGGGGGCAGGAGGGGTGTCGGGGCAGCTCAGCGCCCAGACAGGGCGCCCCGGCACCCCATCGCCGCCGCCAGCAGCCTGCGATGCGTGGTGAGTGAGTGCCAGCCCTCCCCACACAGGCTTTTACACCCAACTGCGGCAGGAGGAAATGCTTTTTTGGAAATGAGTCCAGGGGGTGCGAGAGCACATGACAGGAGCGCGGGAGGGATCTGCTCTGCCTTGCCATGGGCCGCCCAGCCACCGCCCTCCCAGTCCTACTGGCACAGACCCACCACAGCTAGGGGATGTGGGGGACAGGGAGCAGAGCTGACCCCTCCTCCCCAGGGCTCCACCCCCACCCTGACCTCCAGGGCCCAAGCCTGAAGACGCCCCAGCCCCACCACTGTACCTGCACCAGTGGGGCTCCCTCAGCTGCACTGTGTGCCCACCCCAGTGCTGCCCCACCACTGAGTGCCAAACGGCCGAAGGAGAGGCAACAGGGGCACCAGTGGGCACCAGCTGGGTTTATTGCTTGGCCAGGACACAGAGCACCACCTGGCACAGGATGTCAGCCGGTGCTCCGGCACCACATCTCCTACAGTTCCCATGCTCTGGCACCATCTGCAGCCCTCCACTGCTGGCCATCCCAGCACACAGGGGCTGTACCCACACAGGGGCAAACCCTGCCCCAGCCAGACCCTGGGGTCACCACCTGCTCCAGCCCAGCACCATCCCCTCCTGCCACCAGCCCCAGCCTCCTCACCACACCGCCCACAGCACAGTGCCACTGGCACTGCATCCCTCTCATCACCTTCCCCGCTCATCATGGCCAACATTGTCGTCGTCTCTTCCTTGCCCATGAGGGCCACCCCACAGCCCCCCACATCCCCAGGACTGCCTGCCCAACACACCATGGGGGTGGCTGGGCCCTGACCGACAATCCTCATCTCTGCAGACAAGGGTTTGGCACAAGCCATGTGCCATGTCCATCCCCACTCCAGGGAGAAGCAGGCAGCCCCGTGCTGTCCTGCCTGGGGGACGTCTTTCCGAGGGGACCAGTCAGTCTGTATCCCCAACGTGTCTCCACCAGCATGGCAGCCCAGTGCCTGCTCTGCCCAGCCCCGAAGTTACGCTATGGTTAGAAGCGGGAGCAGCTCCCTGGCACAGCCACACGTCTGTTGTTGCCACCCCGCAGCTCTCAGACCTCCCTGCAAGAGACAGAGCAGGGGGAGATGCCCTTAGTACCAGGGCTCAGCCCCTGGTGAGGACGCGGGAGGGTCAGAGCAGGCGGGCAGGGGCGTGCTTACGAGGCGGTGAGCGTGGAGTTGAGCAGCAGCGTGGTGCTGAGCCGGTAGAGCTGAGCCAGGGTCAGCTTGCGGTGCTGTGCTGACTGCGGGTCCGAGAGGGTCCGGCGGGCAGCGGGCAGTGGGTCGCGACTCAGCTCCCCAGGGAGGGACTTTGGGCTCTCCAGTGGCTCCTCTG